ACAAACTATGCTCTAACAATAAACAATTAATAAATAATAATCAAAATTGTGGCCGGCAACGCTAGAGATTTTAATTGTTATTTATTTTCAGCCAGCGACTATTTCATACTAAAAAGGTATAGGCATACAATTTACACGTTTATTTTAATTAATAATAACTTTACACTTATTTTTTATTGGCAAAAGTGGTACTAAAACCTTCAGTAGTGTATCGGGTATAACAGTAAAAATTATTTAGGGTAATAGAATCCTGCGACACCACAACCAGTTTTTCAGTTGCATCGATTGAAGCCTCGATGACCAGCTATTCTTTGCCCTGCGACTTCAAGTAATGTTATTTCTCTCTTTAATTTTTTTTCATGGCTTCATCTAGTTCTAACAATTTTTCTTTACTCTGGGAAATTTTTCTAGTATATATTTGTGTTTCAACACTCCGTATTCTGTACTGGGTTCAAACATTCGGGTATTTATTTTATTTGAAATTAAATAAATATTATCAAATTAAAATTGGCTTACTTACATAATTTTTATACATATCATCTTCACATAAAATAACAGCGAGTAAATTACGCGGGGAACTTTGAGCTCTATCAACATCTGGTATTGGGACACAAACAGTTGTACCGACTTCAGGCTTTGAAAATTTTTCGTATTTACTTCCATCATGATATTTTTAACTAGTGAAGCTTATTCGCGTACCTACACGTTTATCAATGAACGTTCACACCGAAATAAAATGTATTGAACATCATTCTCCAACTAAACTGGGGATTGACGATAATAACCGGGGAATGTCTACATTTACAACATTTACCAATTTGTAGGTAAAGGACATCATTTACCGGGGAATGACGACATTTACCACGTTTAAGGATCAAGGAAAAACACAATCTACGAACATGCAAAGTACCTACCGTGGCTTCTGTGGTTGAGAGATTTATGCGCGGCTCAAATGCACCACAACTAATAATGGTATTTATATGTATTTATACCTATCAAATTTCGAATTAAAAAAACATTTATAAGTAGTATGATTTGGGGAGTTCTGGAGCACCTCCCCCTTAAATTATACATGTAAAAGCATAGGCTTCTCTGTATAGGCAATTCGTAGTACACGCACCTCCCAAACTTGTATTAATTACTCGATATAGGCAACCCGCAATACACATAAACTCATCACAACCGCACCCGATCCGACACGTGACCGACATATATTTTACGCCTTCCCCTTCTAATACATTACCTCCCCTTTTANTAGAATTTTTTATTCAAATGTTTCTGGGACCTTTATCTCCATTAACTAATTTTAAGCTTAAGCATTTTCTCTGGGGAAAAAACAAAATATAAGCAGCATCATATTTTGCATACTTTCAAAGTTTCAAATCAATTAATGAAAATTATTGATATTTTTACATATAAAAAAATTGTACTTTTAAATACCCAATTCTAGTAATACGAAAAGGTTAAAATTGGCTCTTTGAATTCTGTATTATCGATTTTTGCGTTCAATGGTACCGTGGTTTGATTGTTTGTTTTGTTTTAATATAATATTAATATTCATTTTCGCTATGTTTTCCATAAAGTAGAATTTATTGTATTTTCCAATTACGATTCTAATAATTGTTTCGTTTAAACAAAAGAATAGATAGCGCCTAAATTCAACTAGTTTATTTATACTCGCTAAATATTATCTAGTCGCATCCTTTGTTGGAATTTAAATTTTCGATTTTTAAATATAAATATAAATTATATTTTGGTTTTATCATTGTTCATCCTTAACGAGAGGAATAACGCGCACGTCTTCGGACATATTTTATTGGTCTTCACTGTAGACATCGCCTGAACAGATTGTCCGTATTTTATAATATATATCAAATATAGATTACTTTTTTGATCAGTGGCGTCGATTCAGGTTTTACTAAACTCAGGGATATCTTTTGGCCTTAATAAACTTTGTTTTACTCACGATTTTTGATTTTTTCGACACTTGTAATCCCCCGTCACTATACGAGTTTGACAGACCTTTGGTTAGGATTCTCATCCACGCCTCTGTGAAGTTGCTCTCTCCGACTTTGTTGAATCAATCCAAAAAAATATTGTTTTGAAAATTCTAAAACCAGTTTCCTATTAAGTATTTGGAAATAATTTTCGAAAAATTGATATATTTTTCAAAGTTATCGGACAAAATCGGGGGGCTAAAAAAATTGAAAAAGCCTCCAAAAAAATAATATAAATTTGCAAATTTTGAAAACCAATTTGCAGTTATTTAAAAAAATTTTAATATTGGTATATTTTTTGAATCGATAGGACAAAGTATAGAACATTACGGACATTCACTGTGTTTGTTATATTCGCATTAGTCTATTATCGGCGTAATAACGAGCAAAACGATGAAATTATGAATTTTGTAATTTTGCTGTTGATATAGACTTAATTTGCAGTGACGTTTGTATTATTTTAGGTTAATATACCTTTTACACTTTCGACTGCGCAGTCTTCCTATACATCCTGAAAAATTGTCTCGATATTATGACATGGGATAAATGATTATTTATTATTTTTATCGTCTTTTATACTATCCGTAGACATCTACATGTGTGCAGATTAAACTGACAGCGTAGCTATGATATAATCACTTTTCTGATAATTTTTTTTTCTTGAATGTTTGATTTTTTGCACTTATATTTGGCATACCAGTATGACAGTATTTATAGGTCGGCACACACTAAAAACTAAGTGACACTCCAGTGAATACACATGATCGTTAATATTTCCATATAAAAAAAAAACTTTTTTTGTAATATTTATTTTTAGAAACATTAGCTCCTCGATGTCTATCATTAAAAAGTAAAAACAATATTTTGTTTTGTAATTTTAATTTGAACGCCATAATATTATTATTATGTATTATAGATTGATTTGGTTTTTGAATTTTTCTTCAAAATGTCTGATATACCTAGTTATATATTATAATTTATAATATATATTTAAACATATATATCAAAAACCACTTCTCATCATTCAGTATTATACTTTTATATACTACTGTTGTAAGAATAATATCAAGCTTACAAACTAATTAATAATTGTATTATTTAGATATTTTGCACAATATAGTTACTATTAGATTTAAATAAAATTATGCTTATAAGATTTCTAATTAGTTCTCCTGTAACTATTGGTTATTACCAATAAGAGGTCTTCCTCAGTGGTAAATAGGCCAAAATTAGTGAAGAAAAAAATAAGTCGAACAAACATTGTAACACTATAATTTGTCTGAAATAAAAATTATTAGTATTATTTTAATATTGGTAAACAATTAAATCAAAACTCAAATCTAACTACTTATCATCTATATACCCAGGTATTTTACTCATACCGATAGAATCTGAGTTCTGAGTATAAATATTTCTTTGTGCTACGTGTGTTATTTAAACGAATTTTACGAACACTTTGATGTTTTCAGAATGTCCACCTATATAAGTTTATAAGCATTTTATAAAATATGAGAATAATAATTTAATCTGATATACATATTATTCAGGAACAGTGTCTTGATGTGATAACTTGTTTATAACATGCAATTGAAGTTTAAGGTTCGAATGTTTATTATATTTAATAATATTTAATACTTTTGTTTAATATGTGGAATGTGGATAGTTATAAATACTGAAAATAAATCATCTTTTACGTATTTTCTTATATAAATTATATATAAATCTTTATATATTTTACATTAATATATAACTGCAATACGCTATTATAATGTAAACACGAAAATACAAATCTATATTTTCTCTTTTTATTATCATCGATAAATTTCTGTAACAATAGTGAACTAATAATTTGTGTGGACATGTTTATTGTGCTACACATTATAGTTTAAACGATAAACCATCCTAACAAAAACGTTAAGAGAAAAAAAAATTGTAAATTATACATATTTATTTGTGAAAACTCGAATAAAATAAATAGTTATAGTTTTAAAACCCAAATTTAGACAAACGGAAGACAAAAATACTTGGAACAATAAATATAGAAATTGACAAGAACTACGTATCTATATGATAAATACCGCTATGTATGAAAGAAAAAGTAAAAAGTATTTGTTTTTAAGTTTATTATTAGCTAAAAAGCTTTGGAGAAAATGGAGTACAAAAAAACTATAATAGGTAGTAGTTTTTTGTAGTAAGTTCATATTATTGACTTATAATCTACCTAATATTGGTTTTATAATAGATATTAAATTACATTTAAATTAATGGTAATAATTTTTAATACAACTCTTCGAATTTAAAACAATCAATTAGCAAAGGTTATTCATGTTGATTGCTATGTAGCATCATTGGAATAAAAAGGGCATGGGACTTGGGACTCAGATCACGCCCCTTACAAAAAAAAAAAACTATGCCTTGTCCCCTCAAACAATGGCCAGCATGATATAAGTAGGTACTTAGTAAATATAATTTTTCTCTACAGTTTAAAAAAATATACATATTTAAAATTTCATTTTTGTGGTATTCATTTCTGATATGTGATATAAACACAGTCGATAAAAATTGCTATGTTTTTCTATATGAAGTGTGATAAGAGAATAATATGACTCGATGCCTCTATCGTATAATCAGGGCTTGCATTTGAAAAATAAATTTTTTTTACGTTATTTACAATCAAAACGTTATACAAATTTTGAGTTTATCGTTATTNTCCACACGCGCGCGCGCGATTCCAGTATAGTACACAAACAAGCCACCCAGGCCTTTGTTCATTAAATTACATACAGACTTATACACACATGAAAACTCACACATAGTTACAATTATAAAACATTCCAATCCAATAGAGTACCAATCTAAAATATATTTTACTCCCCTCCTCCCGTCCTCACGCCCTAACAACATCATTCGTTTACAAACATGTACAAGCCTGTATAGACAGGTCCGAGTATTGCCGATGAATTCCAGGCAGAAAGTAGTGCACACAAAGCAAAATTAAACCAGTCTGTTAACTACCGTCTATGTGTATTGTCGTGTCAATACTGAGTTCTAATGTGTTTTTAAAGTGTATACAAATACTATAAAATATAATAATTTATTCTACTTTTATTGGACACCGTAGTTCATATTTCTACCACCAGTTCTAATATTATCGCATGCGTTATAATAAGCCGCTTAAATAAAACTATTTTACACTGCTATTTAAAGTATAATATATTTTTTATACTTAATTACTCATCTATCCGTTGAAGGGTAAAGTCGTGTTTCGCGAGTTCGACTATAGTGTTCATCAGTTTTAACATAACCATGTTCTCATGTAGTATATGCGATAAGACCTTTACTAGGATCTGCAGTCTACGCAGACATGTCAAGTCACACGATATACAAAATAAAATTTCATGCAGTATATGCTCAGAAATATTCACACGGAGAGACAACCTTATCAGACATAGCAAGGAAAAACATCGTAAGTATTTAACAATTTAATATATTCGTAAACTAGACGACTAGTGTATCTTAGTAAAACTTAGTTTCATTACACTATCTAAATATAATATTATTTTAAATTATCTAACTATTAATATCATTTCTAGAATCAAATATTGCAATTCAACAAGAACCAACCATAACCAATCGAGAAATTCAAGATTTTTTTAAACCAGCTGAAAACATTTACGATTATAATGGTAAATATTTTATTCATATGTTTATTCACCTCCTATGATATAACAATAATATAAATATATATATAATAAAATAATATCATGTTCACCCCCTCATATATACATGTTATTTACTAGTACTATTATTTCATGGTATACAAAAGTACGTATTCATCTAAAATAATCTGATAATATTTCAAATAAACATATTTAAAGTTATAATTAGTTATTACTATTATTTCACAAAAGAATAATGTGTATTATTGCTATAACTGAGAGCTCTATATCATTTTTGTTTTTGCTTTTACATACATAATATATTTACATAACATATACATGTTTGTAATACTATAGCTTCACAACTATCTCCTTTTATTAATATATATTTTTAAAAATCGTATTTTCTATTTGATAAACATATCACCAATATTTTTTTAAATTCATAATTTTGCTTCATAAACTTTTACTGAAAAAGTTTATATTTATAACAATTTATCTTTACACACATATTTTCTATAATGTTTATCAATACAATAGTAAATTATTTATTTTATTTCAGTTCCTTCGGCTTCAAATCGCAATGATCTGAAGCGTGTACATGCGGAAAATTCGAACGAAGCAGTAAATGCTAAAAAAACACGCATGACCATCGTTAAAACCCCTGGTTTTGTTAAGACTGGTTCATCACTCTCTAATAAAATCATTTGGTATTATAAGAAAAATACAGATAATTTGAGCAATTTCAACGCATTTTTAGTATCATCAAAAAAAGACTTAATTCAATTACTTATGTCATCATCGACAAAACACCCAATTAAATACAACCTGAAACTGGAAGCAACATACAGCCGGCCAAATGTAGAGAATTCAGCCGAGAACCGTGCGTTTAAGACTTCAGCTAAAGACATTTTTATGGATACGGATATTGAGGCTAAGATTGATTCAGATTTTGCTAATCTTATGTCCGAGGAAGATATTTATACTTCTAAAGGAAGCGGTTTTACTTTAGAGTCTATAGACGGTTTACTGTTAGGCGTATATAAATATACACCTATGGGTGGTTCGTCTTATATTCCATTACCAAATATAGAAAATACGATTNTAATATAAAGAAAACGTATGCACGTTAAAACTATAAGTATATTTTAGTATAAAATATAAATATTAAATATTTGACAACAATTAGACAAACACTGACGAGTGAATAAATCTGAGCAAACTGAACACCGAACATAATAGTTGAATAACTTGAGTGGTATAAATTTCGACCGTAGTACAGATAGTACAGTACTATATTATCTGAGCATCACTATTATTAGCTATTGGTAATTAAATTATTCTATTGATAACTTCTTATTAAGTTTTAAAATAATATCTAATACGGGATCTCCCGGATATGCCGGATACGGAATAAAATTAATTCTTGGATAGAATAAATAATTGAATACTACTAAGTATTATTAAATAATTGGGATTTAATTATTTCGTTTAATGGAATACAATATATACCGTTTTGCGTTATATTTTGTTAAACGTTACGTTTTGTTTTGTGTTATTTATTTATTTACGTTTATCGTTTTCCGTTATAATTACGTTTACAAATTTCAATCGTTTTTTATCAAATATAACGTTATAATCATAACGTTATTATAACGTTTGCAAGCCCTGCGTATAATACTTTATCACATATATCTGATGAGTGTTTATTGGCTAATCCAATATTGCTTAATACATATAAAATAGATATTTAATATAAAAAATATAATTGCAGATAACCTTATATCACGGACCTATTAACTTTAGTACACAAAGTTAAATAACTCAAAAACGACTAGTTTGAATTTTGATTTGGTATGTCATTGTGTAAAGACAAATTATCCACTAAAAATGTACAATACAAAAATTGTGCTCTGATAAAAAAAAAGAAGTTTGTATGTCCAATGCCCACAAGACGCTCTTTAAGTAGTACAATTAATAATCACAAAAATTTGAAAATATAGTTTTGATTTAGGTATATTTAAAAATTCAAAAAACGAGATTTTGAATTACTGCATTGTTGATGAAAAAAGGTGGGTGGTAATGCTTGGTGTATCATCCTGTGCATAATATTATGGTAGGTAGTTATGTCTGTTATGATAGTCAAGACTATTTATCTTAAACAATGTATTTTGACGTGTGAAAAACGTGTGTTGTATTGTTCATTTTTATAACTTTAATATGGTACTGTTTGGACAGAGGTAGTTATAGATTTTCAGAGGTACCTGCAGTGGCAGACTGTATGATCGACGACCTACGGTTTGCGGTTATTGTGTATCATTATGAATCAATGGAACATTTATGCGAATAAATCGAAAACCAGATAAATCGTCGTGATGGTTTGATATTATTTTTTATAATAATTACGAACAGTAATAAATTGTCATACCTCCGGTCCCCTCCGTCTCTACAATTTATATACCTATGTATTTTTATATAATATTATGTGGCATATTCATAAGTTCATAAGCATAACCAATAAAAAAAATATAGTTTATGCCTTCATTATACCACTACTGCAATGTATTGTAGTAAACAAACTTTTTACTACTTAGTACACAACTCTTTAACAATAGTTTTAAATCGTCCCAGTTTTTGTTTAAGGTAAAATTACGAAATTAATTTATTATAATAGCTTTCCGGTTTTCCGGTTCTAATATTTTAAACGATGATAGTTTTGGTAATCCTTGGTATAAAAAAAAAAAACAAATAAAATATAAAAATCTCCAGTTAGTATTATTATCACACAATAATTTTATGGTTTAAGACTTTTTGAGTATAGGTATACTTATTGGACCATATTACAATATATTATTATGTTCATATTGATATAATGATATTACATTTTCACAAGATGTTGTAACTTGTAGTTTTCATGTCGATGCAATAATCATGTAATAGAACAAATTATTTCGTCTTGTATTCATCTGAAAGAAGACAACGAAATAAATAAATAAAAACAGATTACAAGGATTAATGAACACCTTAACAAGCTGCGATGTCTGAATAATAAAAAAGTTAGCGGTTTCTTTGTGTTTGTTTGTTTGACGTTTTTTTTTGGAAAATCGAAATAAACAACAACTACTCTGCTCGCGATTATATAATTTGTCAGTAAAACTCGAGTACACAATGCGTCTTATTCGTTGACTTTTATGCTCGTATACATGCATTCCTCTCCCCCTCCCAACCTGCAAGGTCTTGGCATTTTTATCTTAAATATATTTTTTAGCATACGCGGTCTTGATTTATAAAATAATTTATCGCATTATATTCTTTTGTCTTTCAGCTGTTTAAACAATACAATTTATTCACGCACAAAAGGTTGGTACAATGTTTAATCTTCTTGCTTTCTATAGACATTGTTTTGCCATATTCTCGTTGTTGTTATTATTATTGTTTTTTTTTCGCTCGTAATAAACGATCAACAGTTAACCTTTTGACTTTATATAGAACGAGATGTGCAAGGTCTTTATTGCACTTGACACTAGCTGACAGTTTTGTTTATATCATTCTTTAACGACGTGATTTTTTGCACCATCGAAACTTTTTACGCCTAACTGTTGTTAATTAAACGGACACATTTGTACGCGTCCCGTGAACCGAAACCGCACACGCCGCCGCCAGTCGTTCCGCGTCCTCTCGGCAGCAGTGTGCCATTCGTATTCATTTTCAGTAGCACGTATTTTACAAATTATAATTTGTTTAAAAAACTGCCAGCAAGAATAGACGTGAAAGCAAAGAGAGAAAGAGAGAGAGAGAAAAAAAGGGTATAGCGGCTGAAAACGTTCGTGTTGCCCCACTTGTCAACCTTTTTCAATGTTATGAATTGAGATAGATATTTACAATTGCTTTTTTCTTTTGTTTTATTTTTTTCCCCACAAGAGAAAAATAAAAGTCAAAAAGGTTTCGAATACAAATCCTACAATATAGTAGCACGTGTAATCATAATTATAATATATAATCGTATATCATATTATTATTGTTGTTCTTTATACATACGAATAATGCTCGTCGACTTATTATTAATGCCATATTATTATACTAGCTAATTTTAAGCATTATTTTTTTGTCTTCTAAACAAAAGAGTCTAATTAAAAGAAATTATTAATCATTAAATAGCAGCTTTATTACACAGTTGTTATGTAAACTATAACTGTCATAGTATTAAGTCCCTATACATGAAAGAATAACCTACCTATGTTTAGTCTGTGATTGCAAATTGAAGATAAATGAATCATGTAACGTTATGAGTGCATCCTAATTGAAACACTCCACATATTAAAAGTTTATCTCCTCGAGTTCTAGAATATTTTAGTATATTTATATGATTAAATATTAAATAAATTAAAAATATTCTGATAAATATAATTTGCTTTGCTTAATATAACCACATAAGTTGCAGAAAGCACTATTTACAAATAATTTACTCGGATTTATTTAAATCTTATATAATATACAATAGAAGACAATTATGATATTACTTATAAATAAAATACAATTATGTATTTAGTACATTTATCTAGACTTTGACTTCAGACACAGAAGCTATTTTTACTTGCAGTTTTTATTACATAAAGAATTATCTTATCAGCCTGAATCAATAATTACCATTTTAAAAATTATTGACAATTTATTCTTGGATTGATTTAAGTCAGTAGACATGTTTAACATTAACGAAATGAAATTAAAATGTAACTATAAATTATTTCATTGAAGTTTTTAATTTAATGCATTTAAATAATATATTATCGTGATTGTAGACGTTCTCTGAAATAGAGTTATCTCGATAGAAATATTATAAATGCATAATAAACGTTAACACAAAATTTATCTAGTTACAAAATAAAATTTAAAATTACAAAATTTTTGGTTTACAAAATAATTTCAAGCATGGTAATTTTATTTTAATTATCACCCAAGTTTGTGTGGGTATAGCTATTAACAATACTTTAAAAAGACAATTGTTGCATTTTAACTTTACGACCAATTTATTTTGCCCACAAGCTATTAATTGCGGTTGTATATAATTAATGATGCAAATCATATAGTTGCTGAATGATTCAAATCGTTCGTATATTGTGGGACACAACGGTATTAATAAAATAATAATTTATACTAGTAATTTTCATATTAAATACCAAATGCTTAGTGGACTTGCTCTGGGAATAAGTCACATGGTACCTAATCAGCCTAGAATACCTGCAGTGCTAGTTAATGATTTCCCCATGGACACCCTGAGGGGCGAACGTGGTACAAGAAATCCAGAAACTGCCTAATGTATATGTGACCTCGTTCCGATCCCGAGGAGACCGTCAGGTAATAAAGTATTGTGTACTTGGATATTTAAAAAAAAAATAAAGTTAGAATACACCTACAATATGTTTTTGAAATCGATCAACATAATATTGTTTTATTGAAAAAACAATAAAGTGAATACCTAGTAAAATAATCACCCTAGCTATTAAGTGTAAATAATATTAATATGTTGTTGTTTACTTTTATAGTTAAGAAATAAAACTTAAAACTTAAGACTTGTGTTTAGTGTTTTATTTGCTCCATATATTATGATATCTTTGTTTTATATGATTTATTTTTATTTTCCTGAGTTGGAGATAACACAAAAATTAATAATTTAATTAAAATTATAAACATTATAATAGTGCATAACCAAATGTTCTAGTGTATTATGTTATTCTAATTAAACTTTCAAAATAAAGTTTTTACAACCGAATTCTCTATTATTATTTATATAAATATTTAAATAATTTAAATTTGGAACTAGATATTTATTTTATTAACTTCTAACAATTATTTAAAATGAAAACTGTGTATTCATTATTGTTAGCGAAATTGTGTTAAGTTGGTTTAAAAAAAACATTACTTTGTAAAAAAGACGTACAAAATAACTAACATTTTCCGCAATACTTGAGCTAACACTTTACTTCTAATTGAAATTGAATTCTTAACACACACATTTTCCTAGACCTAACAATAACTAGCGATTATTATTGAATTCTCACTGATAAAATGTCGGATGGGTAATGACTAATGAGCTATTTTACAGACATTATGAAGGAAGTATGAAATAATGTATCTAGCATTATTGAAAAAAAGTACAAAGCAGTACAAAGTATATTGTACGTTATGATTTAAGAACAAAAGGTTTCTTACCTTGTCTCAATAATTCGAGTGTGTTAATACGATTTCCTTCCAAGGAGATTGACAATACGGATGTAGCGTGATTCAGAATTCCACGACTTTATTGTTTGAACAAAGTTTAAAAGAAACGCTGACAAAGTAACGACTTCCGGTTTTGATCGATATGGACGACTACGAAAAGCTGAACATAATATTATTGTGTGTGGTGGCATTATAGTCGCCGTATGCAATAGAGTGCGATTGATCGTTTGCTGATTGCGTAAACCAATAGAATTACGATAGACATAGGAAATAACGTTCTGATTGGTTGCCTTGAAAGACTTTTGAAACCTTTGGGACAACACCTGAAACAATACGTCACGCCCCTAATATAATAATACCAATTGTTACAATATACCTATAGCCGTGTAGGTAATGTAGATTTGAGAAAAATCAGAACAAACAAAATATTTATTTACCGTTCCGGATAGGATGACGTGTTATTTTATGTACATTTTTTTGTCGAATTTTTAAGGTCTTAGGTTTCTATAATAATTCATACAAATTAATATGCCTTAAATTACTATAGTAATAGGCAAACATATTTTTTTACGCAGTTCTGTCTGCCTGTCCGATTGAGTGGACCAACATCATTGTTTCTTAATTCATATAGTTTATAAATAATTGCCTTTAGTTAATAGTTATACATACTTAACGTAATGTTCAATATTAGTTCGAAGATTTTGAAAACACTTTCAGATGCTAGTTGAAAACTCTCTCAATGTTTTGCATTTATTCAGTTCTTCAATGCATTTTTATTTTTTTGACAATAAGTATGGTTATAAGATATATAAAAATATAACTTTTTGATATAATTTGGATACTGCAAAACCAGGATAAGTTTTTTAACTATACAATCAGACATTTTTGGTAGAATAAATGATCATTTATTAGTAATAGTTTTTCTTTTGGTAAACGAATCATTGCTAACATTGTCTATAAGTAATTTAATGGTTGATTCTTTTTCATCGTCTTGTTTCATACATGGTCTTTTATATTTCCAATTTAACGAAGAAAATAAATAAAAAGAGAATCTTCTTGATTAGTGAGCAAATTACAATTCCCATTTGTTAGAGTACCTAATTGAAGTATATGTAATAAAATACATTTTATAGCACTAGTAAATTGCAAGAAATTTGGGATGTTATTGGATTGAAATTGAACTCGCATAAGCCCGAAGAATTATTATTCGATAACATCTTGGCTTATTTAAGTTGAAATAAATTTGAATCCATGATTCAACAGTAGATCTTTTGATTTATTTATTTATGATTTTATTGGGGTAGCAAATCCAATATGATACTTATTTTTTCGGGATTTTCCACAGAGGCATTATTACATCTACGGGTTTAAGTTCGTATAAAATTACATTATGTAACTGTTTTCATTATACTTTCTTTAAGTACTATATTTCCCGTACAAATAGGTTGTTTGAATATCTGTATTCACAGCATAGTTAGAATATAATATTGTTTATTATGTGAGCCGAACGTGAGAAAAATAAAAACTAGATAATATAATAAGATGGCTACTGCAAATCGTATTGATTTACACAAATAAACGATTTTGTTATGCTATGCAATTGGTTATATATTTCGATATCTCACTATTCATTAGGACATATCAATCAACTATACAATTAACAATTAACTTATGCAGTTTGTGAAAATTCTTGTGACAATAATTGTATAATGTATAAGTTTTTTCGTTTTTTTGTTTTGTAATCGTTGTGAAAAATCCCGCGAGGAACCTTGTATTGAAATGTCAACCATTTTGACCAAAGAACAAAAGACATTATCAATATAAATTGATAAAAATTAAAAATACTCACATTTTTGTTGTACTATGTTGGTGTGTTCAAGTCACAAACACCAAAGTTTGGTGAGATGTTTTAAATTGTCTGTTTTTTTTTTCAAATGCAACGACAGTGTTCAACGGAGGCGTACGCTTAGTTTTTTATAATGCGCGACGTTATTGTAATATTGGCTTTGATACGTATTGAAAATAAATTACATTGATAGTAATAATATTATAATATTATTATGAAGCATATGTGTGGATATTTACGTATTAACATTATTTTAAATTTGTAAATTTTAGTTTATAGAACCACCGCATCATTTAAAATACATTTTCAGTTTTTAATTATTTTAATGAAAACCACTGTAGCTATATTTGCTTAGATGCTTAGTTATTTTTTAAAATGATAGGTTGTAAGTGAAATAATGTGGTATTGAAAAGGTCAAAATCAATCTTACAAAATAGTGGTCGCTTCGAAATTGGCGTTCTTTATGGAACAAGGTCTAAACAAGTCTTTTTTGTGTTCATTAAAATTAATTACAAATTGATTTGCTGTGGGTGCGTTTCTGTGTTGGGACGGTTTAATTTTTTTTTACTGAACATATTATGATAATAATACGAACAAAACTTCTTAAATTCTAATGATCTTTATTGGGGCTGGTCTATAATTTTCTGGGTCACAATAATAATTACAATATAAAAGAGTAGAACTAAAATACTTCACCAACTAATATTATAGCTTCATAAAAATAGATACAGTGGTTTTTTTCTTTAGATTAAGTATTTAAATTATACTTGCATATCAATAAGTTTTAGAAATGTGATCTGTGGTTTTTTTGATGTTTTCTTCGATAGGGCTAAAGGCCTCGAAGAAATTAAATATAATTAAATAAATAAAAGAATATAAATCTTTTTTTTTTATAGTTTGGTATTACCTATAATAATAATTAGAACAATTAATTAATAAACCTAATCAGAAAGAAAGATTGGTTAAAATGGTAGATTAGTTCTTAGGAAGTATGTGACTTGTGGTAAGGTTTTAAATCAAATAATATAACACACAGTATATTAAGCATGTATATCTATATAATTGTATTTTACACGTACTTACAACTGATGAACCAAAAAATAAATTGACAAAAAAAGATGATGTTTTCTTAATAATTTGAAATAAAATACATAAAATAATATTCTAATATATATTTTTAATTAATCCATTGTGTGTAGGAAGCAGGTAAAATAATATGAATTTTTAATGATACATTTTTGGATATTTTAGTTTCAACATGAATTATTTTTCAGCTCTTAGTAAAAAAAAAAAAAATGAAAATATAAGTATCTTTTAATTTTTTATTTGTCACTATCCAGTTACAACTGATACCTACCCCAAATTGGATTTATTTCAGACAATTGCGTTAAAGCTTAAATTGTATTCTCGCTTCTTGTTTCAGTAATATTTTATACTTATTTAAAACTGTATATATTTAGAGTACTCTAAAAATGTTTTTGAAACTGTATACGTTTATGAAATAATGAATGAAACCGTTGTACGCGGTAAAAACATTGTACTTAATAGTTTATATTCAATGTTATTTGACTGATTTAGTCAAAGTATTATTATCGTGGCGTTTCCACTTTTGTAAGGTGATGCTCTCATTTCGGTTTTCACTCTCAAACGCCAACGATCGTAAAGGTCAAATAAAAACATCAATGAGGCAGAATATACGAGCTTAGGAAATGTTATTATTGCAGAATATCGCTGTAATAATAATATGACTATAATAAAATATATTATATAGCAAGGGATCTATATATACCTATATAATGTAATGGGTATATAATATATATAGCAAAAGATTTATATATATATATATTATATATGTACACCTAATTTATGTAGACAGTGTTATATACGTGGTTTTGTACGTATTTTTAAGAAGACGTCATAAACATCACCGGTGCATTAAAATGTAAAACATATTACTTCAAAAGTTTAACAATAAATATCAACTTATGATCTTAAGTAAAATACGTATTACATAGTAACATACCATAATTTAAACATAATGGTAGTCATCAATATCGTATAGGCTTAAAAGGGTTAATGTTATCTTAATATAGGTCATTATAAGTTATGTTATATAATATAATAATAATATTATTGTCGATTCCTGTATCGTTTCCATCTTCTTTTCGGTCGGCCAGTGAGATATTATATTGTTCTACGATTAACTTAAAAAAACTACTCGGAGATATTTTATTAGGATAAACCACTACATTTTGCACTTGTATGCAATTATTTTTCCAATAAGATTATGTAGAAGAATATTTGCGAAATATTAGAAAGTATAATATTTCACCAAGACAACGAAAATATTATTTTATGACAGTTGTAGCTGATTGTACTTGATTTCAGTTTTAATTTTGTTCAAAGTTTTCAGTTTGATTTTTAGTTCCAAGTCATTAAAAATATATCTCCGAGCTCACATAAAATCGAATCCACTGAATAATATTTTTAATACTTACTTTGAATTATCCAGACAATGTACAGTTATGTTTTTACTAAAGAACATTAAAATATAAATATTACATTAAAAAAAAAATATATTTACCACTTTGTTCGTTTACAAAATAATCATTTGTGAACAATAATAATATATATATTAATATGACAAATATTTAACTACAAATTGCATACATTAAACAAAAATGTAGATCCGTATTATATATAATTAAACTCTTGAAAACCTAGTTTTCGGATGTTTAAGCATTTCTAACTAGACACTACTAAACTAGTAATGAACAAATTACAACTCTGCATACGATTCAGCTGTTTTTTTCATATTCATCGTCCATCTATTATTATATTCTAGATCACTTCAAAGTTGTTGAAGTGTTTTTACAAGACTGACACTACAGTTTGTGTTAAACACGTGGTTGCCATGTTTTATTGCTTACACGATGTTTCTTAAGTGCTCTTCTCTACTATATTATATTTTATTTTTAGTAAATTATAATAATAATATGATATAATATTGAACAGTCGAGACCGTGCATTATAATATTCTTCACACTCCAACTGCGATTGTTAATGTTCTATTATTTTTATTAAAAAATGTTTGGTAATAGTGATAGAGCCAGTAAAGATTTCAAACATTTTTTATCAAAATAGCTGAAAGATGTCATTTTCTCTTCCTTTTTCGTGAAGTACCTATCCCCCCCTCGCCCAATTCTCAGCGATGACGGCGTTATAACCGATGATGATGATAATTTGTTGTTGCAATTATATCAAGACACCGGATATACCTTTATTTATATTCATATTAATTACCAGTGCTCTGTATTCGATCGGCGAATTGCGTGGCCGAGTGTCAGGAAAAAAAAAGAAAACGGGAAAAAAACCACCTCGTAGGTTAGGTTCTTTTCCGCATATTATTGCTATGTACGATATCAACCTTGTATCAGCGGCGGCGGCGGCGGCGGCGGCGGAATATCGAAACAGTCTATAAATAAATCTTGACTCAGCAATAGGAATAGCGTCATAAATCAAGTGTCCATCGAGTAAGTAGTGCGCGGCCAGCAGCAGCGAATCTGCAGTGGCGTGTATATGTATAGCGTAGGGGTGCGTTCGAGTCATCGTGCAGACCAGTGATGGTGAGGTTCGACGAGAGGGTTCACGGGAGGAGCGCGAATAAAGGGGTTGTGTTGGGGGGGGGGGGGTATATTCGATGTCAAATGTTCTTTTATTACCGCTGTGCTTGCTGCGTGGAGTATATAAGGATGCTCTACCGTATATACATATATGACATGGTAAAGTCTCTTTTTTTTCTTCACCTCAACCCCCTTGCCGCTCACCACCACCCCATGCCGACCCACCAGGGCCGAGACAGGGACCGACGGAAAAACGCGTCAGCTGTTTTATCCGGAGACGCACGTCCGCTTCGCACACAATTCTCCGCGCTGCCGATGCATTTTTACGCGGAGCTCGGGCGCTATTGTTTTAAAAAAAAAATCCCGTCGGCGTGGACCGTTTGTTATTTTGAGCACGCCGCTGGAGCCACTCGCTTGAAATCTAATATTTTTATTATTATTATTACACGCGTGTACGACATAATATAATAATACTATTATACTATGTATATGCATTATATATATGTGTATATATATATATATACCTGAGCACTCGTGTATTGTATTTAAGCACAATACATAATATAGTGAGCACTTCGGTACGCCCGCGCTTACACGGTGATTTTTTTCGAACGTTTTATACCACTACTCATTTTCCCGGTCGAGTATTGTGTTTGTGTTATTTTTATGTGTGGGTGTATGTGTAATGTGTACATAGAGTTTGAAGCACCCACCAAACTACCTACTCGTTTTTACGATTTTCTATCACACCGCTACTGATTTTTTAAGGGTTTCGATTTTTTTTCCTAAACGGTAACTCACACTCAATGCCGGAAGTTAACTCTGAATATCTTACATCATTTTCATAAATAGAAAGTGTGTAATATTGTGTAATAAATAATAATATACAGACTGTATAATGCAGTATATACATTATACACCATATAAGAATATTGACTGACTAGTGATTTTTTATTTTTAAACTCTTTTAGTTCCACAATTTCACTTTCAACTTTAAGTATTTTCTTCTCAATCACGTAAGTTTGTTCATGTGCTGAAAGTTTCTAGACCCCGATTTTAATCTTACAATGTTGAACTTCATTTCAATATTTGAGTTTTTGTGATTAGCGACCGCAAAATCGTCTTAAAATAACATTGTGGTCGTGATTATTAGCTTAATGGGCATAAATAAGAGATGGTACATCTTTAATTTTTTGGATTTTAACATTTTTTGAATTGTACATTAATTATTATGTTTAATCATAATTACCTACATAGATGGCATGCCACTCTCGTATAATATAGGCTCGCACGTTTACACGATTAAAATCTCTACGATAAAAATAATTCTTGTATAAATAGTTGAATTGGAATATTATAAGTAGGTATGTTAA